GCCCACTTCACAAGGGAGAAAGGTGAGACGTCCCTGGAGGGTCTTGAACCCAGGGCTGTGGTCTCGGGGCACCCGTGGCTGGCGTGGGCTGCTGCCACTTGACGCTGAAGGTGAGGAGACGCACGAGGCTTCCCAGGACACACACCCCCCTCCGCATCCACGTCCCTGTCCCCGCCTGGGGAAGATCCTCAGGTCCGCGGGGACGGACTCAGGCTGCAGGCGCTGACTGCTGGAGGGGTCGCCCGCACACAGTGCGTGCAACAGGCGTGGAGTGGGGACAGGGTCAAGGCCACGCGCAAAGCTCTCGACAGCCCACCAGATGGGGACCTTATTCAGCAAGACCTGGGCGGGATGGGGTTCATTCCACCGCAGTCATCGTAATGGTGCCACGGAGTAAAGCCGTGCCCCACCCATGTGCTAGTATATGGGGTGCGCACATGTCCAGTTTCTCAGTTTGAGACCCCTGTGCTCAGATTCTTGGAGAGAACAGATAGGGACAGAAACCCCAAAAGGCAGGAGCCCATTTGTTTCCAAATCTTGTCTGTGGTTTACAAACAAGTTCCAGGAGATTTTCAATGCACAGCTGCAGACTGAGATGGTTTACTGCACGTTATAAATGGAAATCCTTAATTTTTTCTCCACGTTTTTTAAGAAATCCAGTTGCAAGGCCATTCATCACATTATCCGTTATACCAGAAACAAATGGATTTGTCACTTGTGCACAGAAGCTGAGGTTGATTCTGTATCAAACTGTATCAAAACAAATGAAATCATGATGATGATATAAAATAGACTGCAGTGATTAATCTCCAGAAACCCAATTTTGATCTGCTTTGCACTTCAAACAATAGCTTCTGTTATGTAAAGAGCTGTTGGATATTCAAGGACAATGTTGCTAAATTATAAGAAAAGGTCTGTTCATGAAAATCTCTTCATGGATGAAATGAGAGACAGGAAGTCTGGTCTACACAACACCCGAAGCAGAGGACAATGAACTCGGAGATGGCTCAGGTAAGAGCATTCGTTAATAGAAAAGGTGTGGGTGGGCCTGGGGAGGGGGCATTGGGCTAATGTCTCTTTTGGTCTGCATCACCAGCAGAACAGGTATCAGCTTCACATTGTCAATTCGACCTTGGCTAGATTCATGCCTCCTACATCTTTCTGACTCCAACCCCTTGGGAACTCCAGAAGTTTAAAGGAGCTCACATTATACACAAATTGCAATTATGAAGGTGATGAGGTTGCAAAGCACTTTATAAAATGCTACATTTTAGATGATTCCATAAGGCACCAAATCCAGACAGGTTCAGAATTATCCAGATAAGGATTTCACTTTCAATTTTCAACTCATTGGGTTGATTTTTATTTATTTTTTTTTAGACCACGGTGGATCTTAATTGCATGTGACAATAGAGTGCTATAGCTCCATATATCCTTTCTTGACACAGACCGAAGCATTTATATTTGCAACTACTTGAAATACAGCCTGGTTCCTTTAATAATTAAATAAAATCAAGTGTTTCCAGAATTCTAATTTCCTCCTGCACAAAGAAAGCACAAAAACAAAAATAACAAAGCCTATATCCCCCAATAATTACTCTTACATTTCCCAAAAGAGATTGCTATGTGAGACCTAATCAGGGACATTGCCAAAGCCCAGACGGAAAGACGGAGGCATTTAAGATGTTATTTTGTTTGAACGCAGTATAAGTAGAGGGCTTAGGTACAAGAGTAGATGCTATTTGGGGTTTTATTTTGTCTTCCTGATAGGAAGTCAGCTGGCTTAGGAACAAGGGACTGAGGCCTAATAACAACACTGTCACTAGCTAAGTGGTTTAGGGCAAGTCACGTACCCTCTATGGACATCCGTTTGCTCGTGTAGAAGATTTGAGGATTAGACTGGGCTCTCCAAAGACCCCAC